TAGTGGTGATGGTGGTAGTGATGGTGGTAATGGTGGTCATTCGAAAATGGCGGATGACCCGATGAGCGGGAAGTTCACCAAACGTGATAAGGAGTGTGAAAAATTGAGAGAGATTAAGAAGAAACATGTCAGATGAACATTAGAATGATGATGATGATGGTGTGATGACGCTGATGATGATGCTGTTGGCGTTGGTGGTGATGATGTTTATGGTGGTGACACTTACACCGATGATGGTGAAGATGAGGATTTGTTTGCTGGTGACAAAATCTTCGTTTAGATTATGTTGATTTTAAAAGATTCTAACAGGATTTAATTTTTCAGTTATCGAACTTGTTATGGCATTTGTTTTTAACAATATTTAGGCATTTTATTTTAAATGTGTTAAAATTTACTTATCAATTGAATTAGTTTAATTAAATTTTCCATTGTATTTATAGCCAATTTTAAACGATTTCGCCAAGTTTGTAATAAAAATAATCTCTCTTACTCTTATATAAAAAGTATAAATTAACTAATTAAAAAACTAATTGATTTAATTAATCAACTAAACTAATTAATTAATCAGCATGCTAGGGAATTTTTTATCATTTACAAGCGCTTTTTTTAGATAGCACACAAAATATTAATCCCGACGTTACGTTACGCTTAGCTGCCAATCAATACTTACCTGTACAGGTGCACATGTATGCTTATATATATATATATATATGTATAGAGAGAGAGAAAAGAAAGAGAAGAGAGACAGATAGAGAAAAAGAAAGGAAAGATATGTGTATTTAAACATACATACAAATGACAAATATACACACTTATATACATATATATATACTATGAAGTACAAATACATGACGCATTTATACAATGTTATACAACCATATATACATCTTTTCAATTATCTACCCACCACCTACCTACCTACACAAAATTATATTTTCATTGTATTTGTCGTCAAATGCATGCATGTATGTGTATATGTATGTTTGTGTATGCATGCATGTATATACATTATACATATACAAAATCCTCCATAGCCATTTTCATCTTTAGTAAAACAAGCTACCATTCAATTATTAATGGTAGGCTTATAATGATAGCAGTACATGAATACATGTATGTATATGTGTATTTATATGTATGTGGATATGTGTGTATGTATGTATGTTTGTTTGTATGTCTGTGCTTGTGTGTGCGTGTGTGTGAGCAAAGAATTGGAGCTCAACAATGACTATGTTTGCAGATGAATAAATATCAATCGTTGAAATATTTGAAATAGTTTTTAATCTTTTAGATGTTTATTTATAAATTTTTTTTTTAAATTTATTTATTGTTATTGCGAATTTTCTTCATTCTCTATGGCGTTTGATTGAATAATTTCTGAATTTAAAAGGTAAAATATGCGAAAATGAATTTAAAGTTAATAAAGTAATTATATCCGGATATTATATCTCGTGCTGTATCTGTCTGTATTTGTTTTTGTATCTTCTTAATGATATTTTTGTTTGCAATGTATCTCTAAATATGTTTGTAACTTGTTATATCCTCATGTTAATTTATAAATTACTTTGCCGAGATTTGAACAATTCAGAAAAAACTTTTCAAGGAAACATTCAGACATATACACACATACACATTCAGAAACACCTAGTCAGACATATGAACGCACACAGACAGACAGATACAAAGACAGACAGACACAAAGACAAACACACAGACTACTACTGTTACAACCTCAATAAACTCATTCCTAATTAACTAAAATCATTATAAACCTCATAAATAGAACGTAGTACAACTATGATAAAATTATTTTACAAAAAAAATTCCCCCAGAATGTCAACAGCTAAACGTGAAGACTTTGGGACACCAACCGGAGGTTTTGATTATTTGGAGGAAACAAAAAGCGTCGCATTTATTGTCTTTGGGGCAATTTTGATCCTATTTGGTGGGCTTTCGGCAGCACTTGGAATAGGGGCAGTTTGCACGCTGGCTTCCGGCTATTATATCGGCTATGGCATCTGGTGTGGTATCTTGGTCGGTATATACTTCATAATTGGAATTATTAATTATATGGATGATTATTAAAAAATAAATTTAATCTGAAGATTGGAAAAGTTTTCACACATGCAGACATTCACACACGCGTACAAACACACAATTAATCATTTAATTAATTATTAAATAATTAATTAAATAATTATATGAAACACTCAGATATGCATTGCTGGAGTGTTCTGCGTGTTCACTGGTTACAAGAAAAACGCCTTCATTGTGAGCCACTTGGAAAAAAATTTATTTTAAATTAAAAGAAAGAGCAGATGATCAAACAATACACTCACACACACACCGCAAACACACACACACATACACACACATTGACTTACAAACACACACACATTCAAACACACACACACACAGATAGTGACCACATGTGTCAGCTGCACTATGACTTGCTTCATAGCTATCGTCCAGATTGGAATCGCCATAACCGCTGCTGACAACGATAGCGTTGGCGTCAGACAAAATTTGCAAACTATAAGACTTCAAGATGGGTATCTCGATTATGATATATACTATCAGAGAAACAACCCTTACAAATATCTATGTTCCGGGCCCAACACCCCCTTCACATGGGTTCGATTTTGGCCCTTTTTTTTTACAATTTTTTCCATTTTTTTAAATTATTATGAGTTAATTTTATGTTTTTTGATGAATTAAGTAAATTTCCTTCCTTTGGTCCATTTTTTCGCTAATTAAAAGTTTTTTCAGAATTAATTTTAGTTAATTATATATATTTTTACAGAATAGAGTAAAATAAAATAAAAAACCCTAGAAAACTGCCTGGGGCCCGGTAGATGTCCTCCTAATCCTCAGTGGCTTCGCAGTTCTCGGGATATCCATGGCAGCCGCCATTATGTCTTGCATAGCTGCCAATAAGGGAATCCGGATTATAAAGGTTCGAGTTGGTTTTTTTTTGGTTTTCTTTTTCCGATTATCATTATCATCGTCATCATCATCGTCATCAACTTCTTTCTCATCGTCGTCGTCATCATCATTATCATCCTAATCATCCTCCTCTTCATCATCAACTTCATCATTATCGTCATCTTCTTCATCGTCGTCGTCGTCATCATCATTAATTATTTCATTATTATGCTCACTATTATTCTTGGTTATTGTTATCCATAATAATTAATTTTTTCATATTTACCAGCATCCGAATACAGATGGTATGTTCTATTTTATTTTTCATTTATTGAATTTCATTTAAATATATTTGAACAATATTGAATTAATTTCTAGTACAAATATATAGTTAACTTTTAAAACATTTTTCGCGGTAATGTGGATTTGAACCCGACGACTGCGAAACATGAGCAGACACTTAACTTGCTCACAGTGGACTGTGATCAATTTGCATTCGAACATGGTCACCACAACAGCATTGCCAGACATTTTAACCATTATTACACTATCATGCCAACTGTTAGGTTTTTTGATTGGATCAATTAATTTTGCAGGTTTCGGCCACAATTACGACACCACAGGGCGCCAAACAGAGTCTCGAATGTCCAACCAAATGTATTCGATGAATTAGTGTTCATATACCCTGACTTTAAATCCTAAACTGTATTTTATTTTGATATATTTTTACTAAATGTAAAACGACGCGTGTGTGAAGTACTCAGATTTGTGAGCATTTAAGTTGAAATTACTTTTCTCATGTATTATTTTTATCAATCGTAAATATGCCTTTTTACAAAACTAATGAATTCATTCGGCAACTAATATATCAGTTAGAGATCTGTCTTTATAAAATTTATATCATTCCAGATAAATTTTTTTGCATAGCATTCTGGTTGTCTGCTTCTTTGAACGTTGTATTGAGTGCATATATATTGATTTTTTCTTTGCTTGTTTATTAATGATTTAATTGTTTATAACATTTTTGTTTGAAAAATAGTTTAACACCAGACATTGTTCTATTAGTATTTGAGTTGTAAGCATTCGGCGTGCTATCTTGCTGAGCCTTGGTTTGAACGCTGCCTTTTCTAACTATTAAACTGCTATGAAGGAACAAATATTGTTACAAATTGGATTGTTTGATTTAAAACAATTCTTTTGGATAGTTAAACAATTAAATTTCTGAGTCATGTTGTGTAGGGAGTGGGTTCGAAAGCCAGAAGACCCCTGCCCATACCGATATATAGGAGCCTACTATCACTTGGTAAGTATGCACGTAATTGAGAGGCATGATGCATGTAAAATATTGAATAAGTTTTATAGTAAATTTTAATATAATGTTATTGTAATGTAATCATATTCTATGGTACTATGATTCTTTTTTTTTAAGGTGGAGTGTAACATGCAGCAAATGCGACAGATTAATTTACTTTAACTTAGATTAACTTTTCATTACATGCATTACACTGAATTTACTTTTACATTATAAACAAACTCAGCTGATTAATTTATTTTGTTAACGATTCATCTGGTTGATTAATAGTTTAAAAAACTAATTAAACGAAACAAATGGCTTCTCGGGCGACCCCGAATTTAATTTTGGGTGGTGAAGAATTTAAAGATGTCTACGAGCCAGCTGAAGACACATTCCTACTACTAGATGCTCTTGAGAAAGATGAATTGCAAATTAAATCCATCCAGTAAGCTTTTTTTTTAGAAAAAAAATTATCAATCGCGTATCAAACGATACGACTGATTTACTTTTATTAATTAATTTATTCTCATTCTTCACATGTTTCTTAAGTTTTTGAGGCATTCAATAATTTTAAATAGTTAAAAAAACTAAAATTAGTCATATTTGAAATTTCAGGCCCCTAATTTGTTTGGAGGTTGGATCGGGTTCCGGCTGCGTTAGTTCGTTCGTTGCCGCCATGTTGGGTTCTGCAACATTTTACATGTAAGTGCTTGTGAGTGTAAAATGTAAGTGTAAAATGTTTTGGCAAATATTCACTTTCTAGACTACTATCTTTTTTTAATATTGAAAAGCCGGCAGTACATATAGAATATAGTTCTAGTACTTTTAGAGTTAGGAATTAGTAGTGAAGTCAGGCTAGTATTGTATTTCATTTATTCAGGTTAATATTTTAACTTAACAAAAGTTAAAAAATTTTCAAGATGCACGGATATAAACAAGAAGGCCACGCTGATGACAAAGACCACTGGAATTATAAATGGGAACCAACAGCTAAACCCAGTTCTTACTAATTTTGTAATTAAGAAAATTTTCTACTCCAATATTTAGTGCTATTAATAGAAGTTTACTTTTAATCAGGCAGATGCACTTGATAAAAGATTAAGTCGTTCTGTCGATTTGTTGATATTCAACCCTCCCTATGTTGTGACTGACAGCTTAGAAGTAAAATAGTAATTTATTATGCTGTTCACTTTTACTCTTTCCACTTTTTTCTAATAAACTTTTCAATTTTTCTTTAAAGATAGAAAGCCCTGATATCATAAGCAAATCATGGGCCGGGGGCATAAAGGGACGGGAGGTATTAGATAAATTTTTACCAAGGGTTGAGAACCTTTTATCACACCAAGGAGTTTTCTACTTGGTGGCTATAAAGCCGAATAAACCAGGTGAAAAATATTAAAAATTTATTTATTTATTTATATAATGTGTGTTCATGGTGTGATTAATAGGACGGACTCAAGGACGGGGTTGAGTGGTGGTATTGAAAGAGTGGAAAGCTTTGTTTATTTAGGGGTTAAGCTGAACGCGGATGGAGGATGTTTGAACGCTGTTACGACTAGAGTTTGTGTGGGATGGATGAAATTTAGGGAACTTGGTGGGGTATTGTGTGGAAAGAAATGGTCAGTGAAAATGAAAGGGAGGGTATATAAAGCATGTGTGAGAGCAGCGATGGTATATGGTGGTGAAACTTGGGTGTTGAGGAGAGAGGAGGAAAGTGTACTGCAGAGGGCTGAAAGAGCTATGGTGAGGATGATGTGTGGGGTTAAAGTGAAGGGTAGGAGGAGTAGTACAGAGCTGATGTCGAGGATGGGACTGAATGAGGACATTGTGACATTGACAAGGAGATCGAGATTGCGGTGGTATGGACATGTGTTGAGAAGGGATGAAAGGGTCGGGATTAGGCGAGTGTTGGAGTTCGAGGTTGAAGGAGTGATAGGAAGAGGTCTTCCGCAACTGGGATGGAGAGAGCAGGTGGAGAAGGACAAAGTGAAAGCGGGGTTGCGTGATACTGAGGCGAGTGACAGATGTGGATGGCGTCGAGGGGTATTTCGGTTTCATCATAGGTAGCCAAACGGCAACCCCCGATCTCGGGGAAAATGTCGTCTAAAAGTGTGTTGTTTGTTTATATAATGTTTATAACAAATGTTTTTTGTCCATTTATTATTTTAATAATAAATTTTTTACCATTTTATTATGATGATAGAGTCATTTGAATAATGTCAGTCTAACTAATTATACTGAATTATATTATAAATGTAATAAATAAATAATTAAATAAATAAATACATAAATTAATAAACTAACTAATTATTTAAAAAATTAAATATTAAAAAATGCAGATGAAATAGTGGGGATAATGTCTAGCTATGGATTCACTTGTAGCACAGTTATGGAAAGAAGAGCTGGCATAGAACATTTACTAATACTGAAGTTTAAAAGGAAATAATCGAAAGATATTTTATATTGTTTCAATTTGAATCTTTTCTTATTTAGAATTTTTCATTGTAATCTAGTTATCGAATCTAATTATAATGGATCTTTATTTTTTTTTTCAAATAAAATCTCATATTGAAAAGAGATTTTTTAATAATCTTATTGAATCAAAAACAATTCAAAATCGAGATACAGATACACGTGACGTAAATACTGAAATGAAAATGGTTAAGCAAAATAACACCACCATCATCAATAACATCATGGGTATAAAATAAGATTGAGCTTGTAAATTTTGTAAATTAAAATCAAACATAAGATTGCAGTAGAAACACAATAAGAAAAAAATGAAACCAAAATGAAATCATTATATCGAGATCAAAAAACAAAAATTTAACAGAACCGTTCACAACATCTTTGTAGCAATCCAAAGAAAAACAAAGCAGACAAAGCAGTCAAGAATTCGATTGAAAGTCTATGAAAAAATAGCTAATATCGAATCAAAATTCATTTTCAGTACATCACTAAACCTAAGTAAACTTCCAACTAATTAACTGTCTTCCCCCAGGCAAACACACAACAACCAATTTAACGCTTGTTCCACGCCGATGCCCTTCAGAGCACTACATTCGATAAGGTTGACTTTCCGGGCTTTTCCTCTTGAATTTTTTTCACTTTTAACCGTTGCCCCTCTGAAGTCATTAGGTGTACCGCCCTGTCTGGTTGCCCAATGTAAGACTTCCTCTATGTGGAAGAATTTTTCTACCTCATCTCTGGTAAACGCTTCTGTCTCATCCCTATTTTTCATTCATTTTTTTGTGAAAAATATAAATTTTGATATAAATGTT